TCAATAGGACTGCCCTGTTACTTGTAGAAAATACAATAGGATCACCCTGTTACTTGAACATTGCTACCTTCAACCTTGTAGAACTTCAATAGGACTACCCTGTTACCTAGACATTGCTACCCTCACCCTTGTAGAACCTCAATAGGATTGCCCTGTTACTTGAGCATTGATTCCCTCATCCCCGTAGAACATCAATAGTATTGCCCTGTTACCTGTTACTTCAACCTTGTAGCACCTCAACTACCCTGTTACCTGAACATCGATACCTTCACACTTGTAGAACATCGGTAAGATTACCCTGTTGCTTGCATTACTCCCCGTTTCCTTTCTGACCAGTGATTGGCCCCGTCCCGTCCTTCACGGTTGTTCATCAGGTCCTTGGCAGCCGGGACGTTGCCTTCCAGAGGGAGGGGATAGTGTTACGGACTCAGCCAGGGTTCGATCCCTGGTCTGCGGGTTACCATCCGCCAGGCCGCTATTTCATTTTTGGGTCTCTGTTCTCAGGCCTCTGACTGTTGGCTCCCTCTGCAGTTGGCGCCCGTTCTCAAATTCCTCTTTTGGCACTTTCGGATTTCGATACTTGGCGCCATCCGGCATTCTGGCGCCCAGACTCAGACCTTCGATTTTCAGTTCAGCCCTGAGGCAATTTGCACTCTGCCCTCGGGACTGAACTTGAGTCCGGTACTTAAGACCAGACTCAAGCCCAGTACTGGCAACCAGTTTTCAGCCTCATTGCTTGTGTTCAGTGTGACTATGCTTCGACACTGTGTTCAGGAATCCAAGACTGCGACTTTGTGACTTTGCCACTTTGTGTCTGTGTCCGTCGAGTCGTGTTAAGTCTGCGTCGAGTTGCTTGAGCGTGTGTGTGTGTGCTCTCACTCTCCCTCCCTCTCCCAGCCTTGCTGCCCTGTCTCCGCCTTGTTACCACTAAGCCACGGATACCCAATGGCGTAACCGCTAGTACTGTCCCGACCCTACGGTAGTCGCATTGATCCGCCTGAATGGAGACCGCTAGTACAGTCCTGACCCTACCCACATTGACCCGCCTGAACAGAGAGCTTAGCAGATCGATGCAGCTAGGGTCGGGACCGTACTAGTGGTCATGCCATTGGGTCTTGTCCAGTCTGCAGGAGAGACCACCTGCCAACCTGCTTCTCAGCTCAATTCTCTCTGCAACCCAGCCCCTGACTGGCCTCTTGCGCCAGTCTCTAGCAGCCTGCACTGCCGATGAGTATTTCCCTTGCCCTTCTCCTCGCTCCACTTCCCCTCCC